TGATACAGTGTGTAGTGTTTGGTGAGTTGATATAGTGTGTGGTGTATGGTTAGTTGATACAGTGTGTAGTGTATGGTGAGTTGATACACTGTATAGTGTATGGTGAGTTGATACAGTGTGTAGTGTATGGTGAGTAAATAAAGTGTGTAGTGTATGATGAGAAGATAAAGTGTGTAGCTTATGGTGAGTTGATACATTGTGTAGTGTATGGTGAGATGATACAGTGTGTAGGGTATGATGAGTTGAACCAGTGTGTAGTGTATGGTGAGTTCACACTATGTGAAGTGTATGGTGAGTTGATACAGTTCGTAGTGTATGGTGAGTTGATACAGCGTGTAGTGTATGGTGAGATGATACAGTGTGTAGTGTATGATGAGTTGAACCAGTGTGTAGTGTATGGTGAGTTCACACTATGTGAAGTGTATGGTGAGTTGATACAGTTCGTAGTGTATGGTGAGTTGATACAGTGTGTAGTGTATGGTGAGTAAATAAAGTGTGTAGTGTATGATGAGAAGATAAAGTGTGTAGCTTATGGTGAGTTGATACCTTGTGTAGTGTATGGTGAGATGATACAGTGTGTAGTGTATGGTGAGTTGATACAGTGTGTAGTGTATGGTGAGTTGATACAGTGTGTAGTGTATGGTGAGATGTTACAGTTCGTAATGTATGGTGAGATGATACAGTGTGTAGTGTATGGGGAGATGATACAGTGTGTAGTGTATGATGTGTAGTGTATGATGAGAAGATAAAGTGTGTAGCTTATGGTTAGTTGATACCTTGTGTAGTGTATCGTGAGATGATACAGTGTGTCGTGTATGGTGAGTCAATACCGTGTGTAGTTTATGGTGAGTGAGATGTTACAGTTCGTAATGTATGGTGAGATGATACAGTGTGTAGTGTATGGTGAGTCAATACCGTGTGTAGTGTATGGTGAGTTGATACAGTGTGTAATGTATGGAGAGTTAATACAGTGTTTTTGGTGTTTGGTGAGTTGATCAGTGTTTAATGTATGGTGAGCTGATACAGTGTTTAGTAGTTGATGAGTTAATCAGTGTATAGTGTATGGTGAATTGATCAGTGTGTAGTATTTGATGAGTTGATACAGTGTGTAGTGTATGGTGAGATGATACAGTGTGTAGTGTATGGTGAGTTGATACAGTGTGTAGTGTATGGTGAGATGACACAGTGTGTAGTGTATGGGGAGATGATATAGTGTGTAGTGTAGGGTGAGAGGATACAGCATGCAGTGTATGGTGAGTTGATACAATGTGTAGTGTATGGTGAGATGACACAGTGTGTAGGGTGTATGGTGAGTTGATCCAGTGTGTAGTGTATGGTTAGTCAATACAGTGTTTAGTGTATGGTGAGTTGATACAGTGTGTAGTGTATGGTGAGTTAATACAGTGTGTAGTGTATGGTGAGATGATGCAGTGTGTAGTGTATGGTGAGTTAATACATTGTGTAGTGTATGATGAGTTGAATCATGTTTTAATGTATTGTGAGATGATACAGTGTGTAGTGTATGGTGAGATGATACATTGTGTAGTGTATGGTGAGTTGATACAGTGTGTAATGTATGGAGAGTTAATACAGTGTTTTTGGTGTTTGGTGAGTTGATCAGTGTTTAATGTATGGTGAGCTGATACAGTGTTTAGTAGTTGATGAGTTAATCAGTGTATAGTGTATGGTGAATTTATCAGTGTGTAGTATTTGATGAGTTGATACAGTGTGTAGTGTATGGTGAGCTGACACAGTGTGTAGTGTATGGTGAGATGATATAGTGTGTAGTGTAGGGTGAGAGGATACAGCATGCAGTGTATGGTGAGTTGATACAATGTGTAGTGTATGGTGAGATGACACAGTGTGTAGTGTATGGTGAGATGATATAGTGTGTAGTGTAGGGTGAGATGATACAGCATGCAGTGTATGGTGAGTTGATACAATGTGTAGTGTATAGTGAGATGATACAGCATACAGTGTATGGTGAGTTGATACAGTGTGTAGTGAAAGGTAAGATGATACAGCATGGAGTGTATTGTGAGTTGATACAGTGTGTAGTGTATGGTGAGTTGATACAGTGTGTAGTGTATGGTGAGATGATACAGCATGCAGTATATGGTGAGTTTATACAGTGTGTAGTGTATGGTGAGATGATACAGCATACAGTGTATGGTGAGTTGATACAGTGTGTAGTGAAAGGTGAGATGATACAGCATGCAGTGTAATGTGAGATGATACAGTGTGTAGTATTTGATGAGTTGATAAAGTTCGTAGTGTATGGTGCGTTGATACAGTGTTTCGTGTATAGTGAGTTAACACTTTGTGTAGTATTTGATGAATTGATACAGTATGCAGTGTATGATGAGTTGAAACAGTGTGTAGTGTATGGAAACATGATGCAGTGTGTAGTTTATGGTGAGATGATACAGTGTGTAGTGTATGATGAGTTGATGCAGTGTGTAGTGTATGGTGAGTTAATGCAGTGTGTAGTGTTTGGTGAGATTATACATTGTGTAGTGTATGATGAGTTGAAACAGTGTGTAATGTATGGGGAGATGATACAGTGTGTAGTATTTGATGAGTTGTTACAGTATGCAGTGTATGGTGAATTAATACAGTCATGATTGTATGCTGCGTTGATACAGTGTGTAGTTTATGTATGGTGAGTTGATACAGTGTGTAGTGAAGGTGAGATGATACAGCGTGCAGTGTATGGTAAGTTGATACAGTTTGGGGTGTATGTGAGCTGATGTTGAAGTATGGTATTCTGTATGGTGTGCTTACACAGCGCGGAGTGCATGGTGAACTGACACAGTGTATATGGTTAGTATATACAGTATTCGAGCTTCTGTAGAGAAGTAAATCGGTAGAAGTGTTCCAAATGGATGCGTAGACGTAGTTCCGAGTGTTAAGCGAATGTTCTGAGTGTATGACGATTTGATAAAATTCAGATTTTGTGGTAAGTGGACAAAGTTCGGAGTATAATGCCCCGGTCACACAATCACATATGGTCTCGCCGAATCCACTACGGATGGAAACTCACGGATGACCCCGGAATAGTTTACATCCGTGGTCCGCTACGGATGCACCACGGTTTTACTACGGATATGGGCTATAGCTAGTTGACAACGGGGAATGATACGGATTGCTACGGTTCGGTACGGTTTAGTACGGAATGACACGTGTCACGGCGTATGTACTGCGGATTAACAACAGTTCGCTATGATTTTAGTACGGGTTAGCACGAATTAGAACGGTCTGGCACGGATTATTACGAACTCGCACGGAGCGTAATGGACTTGCCACGGCAAGCAACCCGTATACAAACTCCCGAGCTCGCGTGTTCACTCCACAAATTAATTTTCATTTTGATTACGGTTCGTACTAGTACGTAGTTCATCGTAACTAACCGGATCGATCTTTTGCGACTTGAGGCCGGGGATGTACTACGGATAATTACGGTATATTACGGACTACAACGGATTACTACGTTCTACTACGAAACTCCGTGGTGAATTTTTGAACATGTTCAAAAATTGTCAGGGATGTATACAAGTACTACTACGACTGACTCAAGAGACAAAGAGGACAGCTACATGCCACTACATATTGCCACGAATGATGCGGATCGTATCCGTGGCTAATCCGGCGTCCGATCTGTGAAAATGTGACCGGGGCAATATATGGCGAATGTGTGAGACGAAAAAGACCAGAGTGTCTGATGAATGTGGAAGTGTACATCATTGTGAGTTACCAAAGGTTTGACTCCATGGTGAGTATACTGCGAAATGTTTGGTGATTAGACCAAGTACGGAGTTCATGGTAAGTTTATACAGGTTAAGTGGATGATGATTGTGAGTTAATACAGTTTGGAGTGTATCGATGTTAGGTTTTCAATAACTATTTCGATACTGTTTTGCTGTTTCCTGTCCAAGTTCGTTTTCTTTCTACTTTCTCTTTTAGATTGCGTCTTCCTAGGCACCCGTCCTCATATGACCAAGCTTAAGGCTGTTGCTAGGATGTTAAGCCCAAAATAAACAAACAAACAAATTATTTTCCTGTCAGTCAAATTGATTTGCTGATTTTCCCTTCTGCTACAATATAATATCATCAGCACAGACAAACGTTTGAATAGCACAGGTTAGATACAGCGATAACCACTTCTAGTTAAAGTTTTGCTTTAGATACAGCTTTCCGAATTAGGTGAGGTTAAGCTTTGATTGGTTAAACGCAGGGAAACTGAGCCTTGAATTGGCGAACATTCCCATTAGATACTATGTTAATTCACCTGTTATCAATACATGTTCAGGATATCGTTTGTCATCCCGTTTTGATAGCTTATAGGTGGATAACTTAAGAGTTCATACGATTAAGAACTAGGGGCGTTAAAGGGTTATTCCCGGTCACTTTAGGGATTTAGAATCATTTGTTTTATTCGTAATCAACGATAAATAAAAAAACGCAAATAGAAAATTTCAAATTCATTCAATACTGAATTGAATTGAATTCGTTATTGAAACTACGTTTATTAATATATATTCCAATGGAAAAATCAAATAACAGGAAAGACTTATGACACATTAATGTTAGAGCTGCAACGGTAAACATACCTCACGATACGGTACGTATCGCGGTACGATGCCTACGATACGATACGTATCACGATACAAATATCTGCTTAATATCTCAACTTTATAATGACTGAGTGCAATTTTATCGAGTTTTGTCATAGATTTTGATAGTAAATGCTATTGAAATATTTTTTTGTATAATTTCTAGTACTTTTGGGTGTAACTGCATCTTAACTGAAGGATTCAATAAATATAATTACACATTTTAGAGTTTAATAAAAATCGATTAATAGTTAGTGTATCTCGATACATGCAAACAAAACAACTCGATACGATACACAAGAAAGTATCGCGATACGATACGATACAATACGATATATCGTTGCAGCCCTAATTACTGTAAGTGTATACGCGTTACTTTATTTTCAGGGGTATGGACCGCTGTACTTCCAAGGCACTGCTTACCATTCGGAAGTCAACTGAACGATTCATAGAAGAGCTCATACTTTTTGTGTTTGAACAGCCAGAATTTACGAGTAGGACAAAGCACATGTTCCAGGTAACCTTTTTATGTGATTGAAGCGACATTTTACACAGGCATTGAGCTTACTTATAATTTTAACAAAAACAGTCATCTATTACCACGAAATTAACGAAATACTGATAATAATTCATTTATAACAAAATCTGAAAAAAACACATATCTAATTTAGCGTTGCATTTTTATAAACTTTATTCATTTTACAACAATTATGAAACAAATTTATGACAATTTTTATAAATCACTCTTGTTAACCCGGATGTTAGCGCGCGAGTGGTTTTAATGTGGAAGGAAACCGGAATATCCGGAGAAAACTCATATGGTCGGACAGGTGACCCCCATACCTTTTTACGTCCGATCGGAGAATCGAACCCCACCCGCCCTGGTAAAAGGCAAGTGCGTTATCCAACGTGCCTACCAACCACCCAATTAGCGTTGCATCTAATATAGGTGCACATGATCTTCATTTAATACTTGAAAGGTCAGGTGGCATTTTTGGACCATTTTATTGAGATCATAATGGGGGATAGGAAAGGAAGATAGATTTGTCATGCTTTTGCAGTCATGGGTCTATTTGTCAAGTATCACATATTTCACTATTCAACGTTCACTATTTTTATTGTAGAAAGCAAAGTTGAATAGATTGAATTAGGAGCTAGCTCTACTACATCGTGACGTCACAGTGTTTCCATGGAACCAGTTGTTGTATAAAGAGTACCTCGAAGGGGACACCAAACAGGTCCTTATGGGGGACCTACGTACGTATATATACATCCCTCGCCAAAGACCACGCATCTTTTTCAAAGTGTTCGACCCTTCCACAGGGGCCTGATATTAACTGAAGTTTCAGTATGTAATAAGGACCTACCATGTTTAGAGACTTTTTTTCGACGTTGAGAAATCCAGATAAAGATTAACACAGGTTAAGATTTATAATTTATATTCACTCTAATACGGAATGCGAGTTCAAATTATTTCCTACTGACGTATTCCATACAAAACATATCTGATGTGCATTTTTTCAGAATTGTAGCTATTCGAAATATGAGTACATAGACATGTTTATTCAAATAAATAAGTAAAACTTTAAGAGTGCAATTCGCGACCTTAATTACTCTTTTTATCCTACGCTTATACACGTTATGGTGTTGCTACACATGTGTTTTAAATACATATTATCAAAATGAAAGGTGAATATTTGCAAAGGGAAGAAACTCTTAACCGAAAAAAATCTCTTTTTTTTCTCTAAAGGAAAATACTGAAAGGCAAAAATTAAGTTCTGAAACTGTAATTCTCGCGTTTAGAACTTGTGCAGTGGTACATTTTACTTTAACTGTGATATACTTTAGCAAGAAAAATCTAGTATTTTTGCCATAAGGTCAGATGTTGCTTCCATGACAACGTTTATTTGAGGCATGTGTTTGTTAAAATGTCCCTAGTTTAATTTTGCACAGGGCAGTAGAGAACACATCACGCGTGATTTATCGTTACAGGAGATTTCAGACGCCGAGTGACAGTATGTTTCATTGACATTTTGAAAATCGAAGGAGATTTTAGGACAGCCAAGCGAGCAAAGAAGTACTACAGAGCATTGTTTTACTTAAAAAGCGATGACAGAAAAAAACAAACAGACGACTCCAAAACAAATCGTCTCGGTAATGCCAAATCGAGACTGGCTGGGATACTCCGGAATAACTTTAAGCGTCAGATTTCTGACATTTCCGGTCCCCAATCGCCCCTCTCTGATACGGCGGAGGTACTAGAGGAAAAGGATGAATGGTGTCAGAGTTCCGATAGCGAGGACAGTGACGGAGATTAATGTTTATGAATGTATTGGCAGATATATTCCACAGGGAACCTTTGTATGGTACATTATTTGTATTTACATTCCACAGTGACATGGACATACGTTATACGATGTATGTATTGACAAGTATATTACACAGGGACATGGGAATTAAATGTAGTTACAGTATGTATGGACAGGTACAAATGTATGTTTCACAGGGACCTGGGAATTAACTGTAGTTACAGTATGTATGGACAGGTACAAATGTATGTTTTACAGGGACCTGGGAATTAAATGTAGTTACAATATGTATGGACAGGTACAAATGTACGTTTCACAGGGACCTGGGAATTAAATGTAGTTACAGTATGTATGGACAGCTACAAATGTATGTTTCACAGGGACCTGGGAATTAAATGTAGTTACAATATGTATGGACAGGTATATTTCACGGGGAAATGTGAATTAAATGTAGTTACAATATGTATGGACAGGTATATTACACAGGGACCTGGGAATTAAATGTAGTTACAGTATGTATGGACAGCTACAAATGTATGTTTCAAAGGGACCTGGGAATTAAATGTAGATACAATATGTATGGACAGGTATATTTCACGGGGAAATGGGAATTAAATGTAATTACAATATGTATGGACAGGTATATTACACAGGGACCTGGGAATTAAATGTAGTTACAGTATGTATGGACAGGTATACTATGTACATGTATATTCCATAGGAAAATCAGATAATTAGTTTTATGATGCCTGTATTGACAGGAAATTCCACAGGAACATGATCATTATTAATAGGATAAATGTTTGGACATAACCTGATGTAAATGAATAGGGATGTATACAATCAATATTGGTGGTGTTTTTACAGAGTATTAATCTAAACCCCCAAATCGTCCAATAATACTCCTTACATATCAGTCCAAAAATACATATTCAGTAGCTGATACTCATGTCCCTGTGTTACATCAGGTATCTCCTATATTCCAAGGAAAGTGTTCAAGACAAAATGAAAATTTGAATTTTAGTCTTTAATGGTACGAGTAGATACATTTCTCTTTCTCTTTTTGTTTAGATTGAATGTATTTGTTGTATTTTTGTGGACGTTCATTTAAAAAACGTCCGGTTATATTCAATGAATTTAACACAGCCACAGTGCATAGGGACCCAGTACAACGATAGAACAGAAAAAATATGACCTATTGTGACTGGCGGTCTCCTTATCCCTACTTATACATATTTTATGTAGGTTGGGGATGTGGAATGTTACATGTCGAAGAGTAGTGTGCCCACAGTAAACGAACAAATTGAATATATATATAACTTTTGTTTATTTTTTTTATCAATCTGTTTGTCACACACTAACTGGTTGTGATACATAACTTTTCTACTTCATACTTACTCAACCGAAGAAAATGTTTAGACATATAGGTGCCAAATTTGTAATACAATATACATTTTCGGTCTTGTGAACAAAGAGCTTTGGATGATTACATTGTCTTGCACTCTCTTAATACAGAATTATGGCATTTATTCATTAAAAATAAAAATAAACATATTTAGTTCATGGCATGTTAATAGGATGTAAAGAGAACCAATCCCTATATATTGGTGTGCATGTGTTTTTAAAACTTGAAGCCACATTAGAGCACCTTGTCTTATACTATCAGTTTATGATATAAAGAGAGAAAATCCCTTTATACGTGTGTGTGTGTGTTTGAAAGATAACGTCATGTTGGAGCACCTTGTCTTATACTATCACCTCACGATGTAAATAACACTCTATAAAATAAAAAACTTAGCGATGTTCATTTAGTGCAATGTATAAATAGTATTTTCTTGTTATATTTCAATACTTTAAGGGGCTGCGGTGTCAGAGTGGTTAAGGCGTCTGACCGTCTGGCTCACTATAGCTCTCCACACTGGGTCGCGTGTTCGAGGCCTACTTAGAGCAGTCGTCAGCTGGTTCTTGGTGTAGGAATCACACGTAAATCTCAAAATATCAATTACCTGGATGTAATACTAACCAACAGTTTGAATACCTTCACGGGGTACTTAGGACTACTTGAGCAAATGTATACCTAGGTTAGTACATTAACTCTGCAGTTTAAATGGATGTTAATTTGTTTTGAAAAAGTAAAATGTGATAACATATTTATATATGCATTGGACCTCAAGGTTATAAAATCCTATTCATTAGCACGCTGTGAGCAGTGATGTAACCTTGTTTTCTACATTGCTTGTGCCTAAGGGCACACAAATGTCCAGCTTTGCTTTGAGGAGACATTAGATGATGATAACAATGTAAATACCAAAAGTTTGACAAAATAATACAACGCTGGATGATTCCCTTTTACACATATGCTGTCCAACATTTGACAGTGGACAACAACGCTTATGGAAAATTCATTAACTTCATTGTCACATTTGCTGTGGTAATTTACCTTTTTAAACATTTCTTTTTTAATACTTAATATATAACAACAGCTGATTTGATACTGTGCAACTCATTCGTCTTTTTATCAGGGGTAAAATGTATTGGAGATCCTATCCCCATCTCTATTGAGCACATGCCTTAGTAAATTTACATTAGATGTGTATCCACTGAAACATTAAAATTAAAAAGGGGGTCGCTCAAACCGAATACGCCTATATAATGACTAAGCATATATTTTCCGTGAACTATCTGCGTTTAACATCATGAATAAATAATAAGACAGTTTTAGTCGTTGCATAGTATTTTAGTAGGACTTACTATCACTCGCAATAAAGATTTCATAATTTGTATTAGTAGATGTATTTTACAATCGTCACCTACACACATTTTTGTGGTGGAGTGTGGAGGGGTGTGGAGGGTAACCTTCGACCTATGACGCAATGAGGGGAGGAAAAACCCAGATATGCACAGAATGTGTGGAGGGAGTTTGACCTAGGCATGCCTAACGCAACAAAGAATGTGTGGAGGGGACATGTTCAGTCCTGCATGTAAGGTCTTCCCTTTCATGCTATTATTAGACTGAACACTTCCCGAATTAAAAATAGAGCTATAATATGTAGACGTCGACTATCAAAATGTAGAGGTAAAGGTTGTTATTGTAAGAAAAGACATGTTCTCAGTAACCCAACTCAGTCAAGCTTTTAAAATGATGTTATCAGCAAGAAACAATGTTCACACTCCCCTAAACTAAATGCTTTAAATTCATTTAAACAATAACTGGTTGTCTGGATGTAATTATTGTTGATATAATTACAAGTGGCCTCTGGCAAATCCCATAAAACCCGCTAGGTACATCCAGACAAACAGGTATTTTTTATATTTACATATTTTTCTTTTTTAAGACATATTCCTACAAAAACCATTTTCCCTGCCTCAAAATACATTTCAGGCGGCCATTTTGTTTGTTTACATATTCCTACACCTGAAACAGGCAGTTGTAATTATAGTCGAGCAGTTGTAATTATAGCCTATATAATTACACTTGCCCTCTAACACTGTTGTAATGGGACGGCGCGGGGGCAAATGTAAATATAACTCAATGTATCGCACTAGTGACATTTCAAGGGTTATAACCTTAATGTCTAAACATAGCCATACATCCAGAGAAAAGTTTATCCCATCAGCTTAGTAGGTTAGAACGTTAGGCTAAAAATCTAGGATTCAATTCCCTATACAGTCATTTGATTTATCAAATATAATCAACTTTACAATGAATCACACGAGATTGTTAAAGTATTTAAATGATGTTATCACCAGGATAGTCTACTGCAAAGTATATTTCATGTCAACCATGGAACAGAAATGTGGTAGGAACACCTTCCACTACACCCGTTCCAATGAAGCATCAACACTACCTAAAATGAGAATAAAAATGAACACAGAATGAAAGTTTCAAAACTTACAAATTTAATAATCAACAAAGTTAAAGTTCACACATAATTCTTATTGCTTCATAATTCTACAAAGTGTTTCACATGGAAGCTAACAAAGACAATACAACAACTTGAGTATTTCTTTAAAACAGTTCGGCATATGGATATTGATATAGTTAATTAAAACAAATGAGCACTACCATAGTCTATACAACAACTTGAGTATTTCTTTAAAACAGTTCGGCATATGGATATTGATATAGTTAATTTAAACAAATGAGCACCACCATAGTGAATACAACAACTTGAGTATCTCTTTAAAACAGTTAGGCATATGGATATTGATATAGTTAATTAAAACAAATGAGCCCTACCATAGTCAATACAACAACTTGAGTATTTCTTTAAAACAATTTGGCATATGGATATTGGTATAGTTAATTAAAACAAATGAACACCACCATAGTCAATACAACAACGTGAGTATTTCTTTAAAACAGTTAGGAATATGGATCTTGATATAGTTAATTAAAACAAATGAGCACTACCATAGTCAGTACAACAACTTGAGTATTTCTTTAAAACAGTTAGCCATATGGATATTGATATAGTTAATTAAAACAAATGAACACCACCATAGTCAATACAACAACGTGAGTATTTCTTTAAAACAGTTAGGAATATGGATCTTGATATAGTTAATTAAAACAAATGAGCACTACCATAGTCTATACAACAACTTGAGTATTTCTTTAAAACAGTTCGGCATATGGATATTGATATAGTTAATTAAAACAAATGAGCACAACCATAGTCAATACAACAACTTGAGTATTTCTTTAAAACAATTTGGCATATGGATATTGATATAGTTAATTAAAACAAATGAGCACCACCATAGTCAATACAACAACTTGAGTATTTCTTTAAAACAATTTGGCATATGGATATTGATATAGTTAATTAAAACAAATGAACACCACCATAGTCAATACAACAACTTGAGTATTTCTTTAAAACAGTTCGGCATATGGATATTGATATAGTTAATTTAAACAAATGAGCACCACCATAGTCAATACAACAACCTAAATAATTTCTTTAAAATAGTTTGACATATGGTTATTACAAACATAATTATTGAAACTAACCACTGTTTAATATCCACAGCAATTGTGTCAAAAAATTAATAAAATTGAGCAACATGATATGGTACAACCAAGTATTTCTTTTTTCTTTTCTTTATTTAGTTAAGTAAACTTCTACCTGTAAAACTTCATAATTGAACAAAATTATCAGCATTAACATGCAACCTTTACCATCACCTTATGGTTAATCATGTGAATCTAATGGGGGAGGCATATCTAAAATATTTAAATGGCATGGTTAATCGAAACTAGCCACTGTAAAGTGACCACAACATACTATACTAACAGCATCACAAACAAAATTAGAAAGTTTAATCATGTCATCCAACGAGGAGAAAATGGTATTAATCATATCCAAAATATTTAAATGATATGCTTGACAATCAAAACTACCCACTATAAATTGACCACCGCAAACTATAACATACATCTCATAGCATCAACATCAAAACGTACGTAATCACTTTTCTAGCTGTTACCTTTTTTGGATTTATTTTAAAATCTTAAAAACAATTATTAGAAATTAGGCTGACCAATGTCAGCAAATCTTGGATCTAAGTCGCCAACTGTTGAATCTAAATCGGAAGGTATCGGACTTGGACCGCATGTTAGAAATGCAAAATAACATGCAGGCAACATATTTGGCTGCGATTAAGCAGCTCCTTAGAGGTGAAGGCAGACAAGTGGACAGAGAGACCTATAGTCTTCCAGTGGAACCACCGCCTTATAGGCTTGTTGATGATTCTCTGTCTGATATATCAGACTATTAGGTAACCTTATCTTTTATTAAATAGTGTTATTTAGGTAAATTGTAAAAGTTTAGACAAAAATAAATAAATCTTATTTTCAAATCTTCTATTATAAACAGTAAGACTAAGAAAATATCTTACTTATTTTTCAACTTTTCTCCTGAAAATGGGCCAACCTATATATATATATATACCTGGTATTAAAAGTTTAAACTTAAACTAATGTAAAGATTCTTCAAACTTAAACCTTTTATAGTTACTTGTTTCCTGTTGATGATATTGGAATATTATAAATGAATGTGGAAAGATACAATTTTTGCATAAAATCAACTATGAGGTAGAATTCTGCATGTTAAACTATTTACAAGAACCTTGTGATACAAAAAAAATAAAAAAAATATTAAAAATATCTTGAAAATGTTATGAACACAACAATAAGCAAAGTCACCATGTGAAAATAATTTGGCAAGCCTGAAGCAGACTGGCCACAACAAGTGCATCAGACTCCAAACCAGCTTGCTCTTAACGGGTTTTCTATTCAGGACAAAGTGATATAGTCACCTTTTTCATATGCTGAGTACATTTAAGCTCATGAACAGCCTACGATTGTGTGGAAATCAAACATAAAAAGTGGTAAGATTGCGTATACTTACAAATGATGATACCGTAGAGTTTATGCAGATTCATTTTTGAATAACCTCATACCATATTAAGAACATTTAAAGGACATAGGAGTAGGCCTTCCGCGATTGTTAAGGTAATAATTGTGCTTGTTTCTGTGTAGATATTACAAGGTATACCATTGCAATAATGAGAAGCTGATCGAGAGAGGTTGGTCGTACGACTGGCATGAAATAAAAATACACACACATAACCGAATTAGTGGGGACATTAAAAAATCTTTGGAAAGAAAAGCAATTCTCCTATAACGATTCTCTGCTTGATTTGTTTATCATATTTAAAGAGCACATAGGCGTTGATATTTCTTGATTATTCACGATGAAAAATCAAATCGAGGAGAAAGCCTATGTTTTGTTATGTTATGTTATGTAACGTTGAGGGATAACACCAGATTGGAAGGAAATGTCTTTATTTAACAATATGTGGCCTTTCATACTAACAGTAGGTGATGTAAAGATAGCGATGACTTACAATGAACTCGTAAGGTCTCAAAGGTGTCTAAACATCTTTAACAAAGAGTCGACATTGGGTGTATATATATATGGAGACTACGCAAATGGCTCAAGGGACTATTAATCGCCTAGTCAACGAAAAATCCCTCCGACAAGCATACCACACAGTAGATTGTTGTCTAGGTATAAATCAACTCTTTCCATCAAGAAGAATGAACATGATGTGTAAGAATGGGGGGAGGGATTAAACGAAATTGGAGGGAATAGTTTTATATAGAAATGTGTTACCTTCTTTGGTATATATAGTCTTTTAACAATGTCAGGTAATTAAGTTACCTGATCCTATACACAACAACCACCATACACCCACAGGTCACTACACAAGTCAATCCCCCCACCAATCTAAACAACAAGATCAGTACATTGTTTATACATCAAACCTAAGATTTCCATCTCTACCTACAGTACTGATACATTATCAGTTCTCTAGAAGAGTCTCCACTTAAACCTTCTCAGCCTGTCTGAGACAATTTCTCATTTTCGTCGTACAAGTCCAATCAAATGATTGGAACAATTTCTTTTTTGATTTCATATAATATATAGACTTCAAGAGACCCAGTTCAGTTGACTTTTTTTTATAGAAAGTAACCTACAACATTAATCTGATTTCAAGATGCCTTAAATGATCTAACTCAAATAATAGCTTTGCATAAGTCAAGTGGAATAGTTGCCAGTCTTGTACTGTCTGTATTGTATGGTGGCATATTTCTGCCATCCACTTGCGACTTACGAGTTACGTATGTCGACATAATTA